GTTGAAATTCGTATTGCATATTTTATAAATATCCGCCACGTCAGGAGTCGAGTAATTAATCCTATTTAAGCGATGGTATATATGATGCAGTAGATTTTCTGTGCGGGTAAATAAGTTTTTATCAAATTTAGCTTTAAGTGATATTATATTGCTGTGGGACTTAATCAACGACTCTTTGACAGCTTTTAAATCCTCGGACGGTTCTAAATGAGATTCCAAAATGTCCTCAGAAGGTAAAATAGAAGATAATTTAACTATCTGTTTTCGAAGTTCGCTAACCGAATCTCCACCAACACCGCCACGAACAGTAACTTCATAGTCGAGTTCAGCTTTTTGTAGCGATAAAAACTTAATAGGGTAAGCCATGATAAAAGTTTGAAAAAAACCGCAGCGAAATGTGTGTTGCAAAACGAAAAATAAAAATGAAAAAAAAATACAATATAAAAAGGTAAAACAATTTAAAACACAAAACAATTTGAACACAAAAATATGCAAAATCAACAGAATATCAGTCTACCAATGTGTGAAAAAAAGATTATTACAATAAATAAATTTGAAGGTAGATGTAGAAAAATTCACAATTGGTATCCTGTGATTGAAATAATCTAACACTACTGTTAGAAAGCCAACACCACAAAAACTACAAAATGATTAGCTTGCTAAAACTCCTTACGGCTCGACATTCTACCTACTTGGGCGCCACTGTAACGTTTTTTTTTTTTTTAGTAGGTAGTTTAATAAAAGAATATTTTTGGCAGTTACGGTTTATTAGGTAGGTAGGTAGTGTCGGTTAAGCCGGGGTGAGTTCGAATATCGAGCGCGTAACGAATTTCAGTTCGCCAGTAGAACACCACTATCCTGAATCAGTAGCCGGTAGGGTAGGTAGGTCGCTCGCAGCTCCGCAGTAGCACGGCCGTCGATGATGCCGGGTAGACCGTTGACTTCTGTGTGAAGGTCACGAAGGTCACGAGGTCAAAGTTGACCAGCCGACTCGGACAGTAGATAGGATTAGGTGCTTGAATAGGTGCATAAACCCTGGAATTCGGTAATTGGCCGTCTTAGAATATGACCGAATCCATGCTTTGACTGCAACATCCCGATATCCACCAACACGGTCTACTAAAAGGGAAGCAGTGATCTAGCATTAAGCAGCTATCGAGATGAGGCAGTCTAGGCAGCGTGGTACAGTAGCAAAAGCACGAAGTTAATTTTGTGATTTGCAGAAATAATTAATTTGAAATTAACAAGAAAACAAAATTATTAAAAATAGTTAAAACATGTAGGTAGGTACACATTACTACTGGTAGAATTTAAGAACATAAGAACAAAGAAAAATGTATGACCTCTATGAGAAGGTCAAAGTCAACCGTCAATTTGAATAAACGGATATTAATTGACAATATAGCATTTAGATACTATATTAGCCTTTTAGACACTATACAACACAACACAAAACATTACTAATTACTTTTGAACACTAAGGACAGATCTAAAACATTATGAGTTATATTTACGAACAATGAAAATAGCAAATCATGCAAGCAACGATTAGCTAGCTATAATTGTAGTAAAGATTTGTTTTGCAACACTCACCCGATCTGGGGTAAACACTGAATTTAATTTAATTTGTATAAATTAAAATACTTATTAAAATAGATTTTTGAAAATAAATTAAATAAAATATGTGAATTTAAAAAACTGTTGTGATGACTGTAAGCGTCTGTCCGCGGTTGCGTAGTCGCCAGTATGATCTCTCTGAAGTGTATATATTCTCACCAGCGGCGGCGAGTCGCAGTCTAGGTGGAAGGGATCGTTCGCCAAACCGGTTTCCGTGGCGCGGTTAGCTACGCGGCGCGCGGCTCACGGCTCATTACGTTGAAATGAATATTTTTTGATTTAAATAGGCTTTCGGCGATTTCGACTATTTATTAATACAGAAAATAACGTGCAACGTTACAATATGTAATTTCTATGATTATTTAGACACCACTGACATACGGTGAAGGTAAACATCGCGGCATCGTGAGGAAACCTGGACTTATAATTTATAATTATAAGTTTGAAATCGCCAACCCGCATTGAGCGAGCATTGTGATTAATGCTCTAACCTTCTCCGTGTGAGAAAAGGCCTTGGCTCAGCAGCAATCATCTCAGAAACTAAATGAAACTTGAGTTTGAACAATTTTTTTTTCAATTCTATAATATTCGTCACGCTTAAACGCATATCAATGCATATCAACAAGATTTCCCTTAGAATTGGTCACGTGGTGCTTATGGTTAAGCCATGTTTCCTATCCTTTGTGGCCAGAAATAGTACAATGACGTCAGTTGGTCGACGACAGTGCCACATAGCGTTTAATCTTGACGGAAAAAGAAATATTTTTTTTAGTTGACTGCACAGTTGGCGCTGTGGCTGGGTAACTGGCTGCCTTGCAACGTGTCGCGGCTCCGATTACCGCACGGAACAACTCTTTATTTGATACACAAATTGTTGTTATGGGTCTGGATGTGATGTGTATGTGAATTTGTAAAATTCTAGGGTGGGGCAGCGTTTTTTTTTTTAAAGAAAGGAATACATGTTAAATAATGCGTTTTATGAAAAAAGACAGATGCAGGTAGCTAAGAAGACATTTCACAAGAAAGATTAACTAGAATGTTTTCTGAAGATTTAATTTTGTAAACGAGAACCGCAACTAACACTTGTAATGCTCAAAATGTGTCCAATCTTCCCTTCTAAAAAAATAAGTTCGAAAACAATTCATTTCAGCTTAGACCTTTTAATATTGGAGATTTGTTGCAGCTCGTCCGAAACAATGCTTTGAAACAAAGGCTTTTTATCCACAAAATTTCGTTTGCAAATGTCCCGAGGTTTTGGTAGCTCGGAACACAGACAGACGAATCGCTTGAAAATTGCGAAACCTCCTTTCTTTTAGACGTTTTTTTGGTTTTCAAATAGCCCTTTCATAACGATTGTATTATAGTACTTGGAGTGGTTGTAATAAAATGGCTTGTTAAGATCTGTATTCAATGGTTAAAGGCATCTTATTTTTTTTTACTTCGCTTCATCAGCCTACGAGTGCCTACTGCTGAGCAAAGACCTCTTCTAACACGGAGAAGGTTTGAGCATTAATCACCACGCTTCGTCTAGGTGGATTGGAGATTTCAAACTTATGATTAGAAATTATAAGACCAAGTTTTCTCAGGGTGTTTTCCATCATCATATTATTATGTCAGTGGGATCTAAATAGTCATAGAATGTGCATACCTAATAACTCAGAAAAAGTCACATTGGTACTTGCCAGGTTCTAAAACTGGGCCCCTAAAGCTGAGAAGCGAGCGCTTTAACCTTCGGGCCACCAAGACGTTGGTTTTTATCCTCATCTCATATCCTTTTTATAGATTACTTAGAGAGACATATTTTAGTACAAAAATTTTATTTATGTTATGATTGTCATTGATGTTTGGCTATTATAGAATTTCTTTTACATCTAATCGACTTCTTCGTCAAAAACTTACATGAAATAATAGACTTGAATCTAAACAGCTCTAGGATTGTGTTAAGAAATGAACCGTTTCTCTAAGCACAGCCTTACATTCCGAATTAGATCCATTCGTCGCCATACAATACCTCGATGTGTCTATGAATGGGACTATTACGAAATAGGTCCAATGTGATCCATTGTTAACCAATTAATAATTTATTAAATAAGGACACGTGATCCATTAAAACAGAGCTCTAATCACGTTTATAACTGTATTCAAGGTTCAATTTTACGTAAAATAGTTTTGTAGTTGTATTTTGTCAGGACTAATATCGCTCGTGGTTTCGTTTACGCAATAATAGACGTTATTGATTTATTAATTTAATAGACGTTTGCCTTCAAATTTCTCAGTAAATGTATAGACTGCTGTTGTGGTTGAAGAATGATAGCAGGTCAAAAGAAGAACTTAAAGTAGTTTGTCTATAAGATCGATTTTAAATGTGGGAGAGCCAAGCTTCGGCACGAATGGGTCGGCTCGACCGGAGTGATACCAGAGCCTCACAGAAAACCGGTGTGAAATAGTTTCACCGTGTGAGTGAGATAACATGTGATCCAATCCATCCCCCAATCTCTCCTCAATCCCTAAATCTCCAAATCCCTAATCCTTAAAAGTTGACAACGCACTCGTAACTCCTCCGTTGCGGGTGTCCATGGGCGGCGCTGATTGCTTACCATCAGGTTATCCGTCTGCTCGTTTGCCGACCTAACACATAAAAAATCTCCATCTCTCCTTAGAAGGCGAATTCAATAATTTCCCCCTCAAAAAAGACAAAAAATTTGGGCCAATATCTTTTGAGAAAAAATGTGTGTAGTGTCTGTATTTACTGGTCAAATAGAGCGTTATGAACACGTATAAGGCCATGAATGGACAACATAACAAAATCGTGTCTTACATAATACTTCTATAAATAAACAACGGTACATAGTCCAACGAATAGTCCCTCTTCCTACCTTACTCTACCTGCCCTACTCTACCTACCCTGCTCTACCTACCCTACTCTACATAACCTACTCTACCTACACTGCTCTACCTACTCTATCCTATCCTATGTCCTTCTCCTGGCTCTAGCCTACCTCCCTGCCAATTTTCAGCTAAATCAGTTCAGCCGTGCTCGAGTTATAAGTGGAGTAACTAACACGACTTTCTTTTATATATATAGATTAATTATTTTAGTAGAGATATTATTTTAGAGCGTTATGAACGCGTATAAGACTATGAATAGACGATATAACAAACAAAATAGTGCCTTACATAATACTCCTATAAATAAACAACGGTACATAGTCCAACGAAGAATACACACAGGATTTGTATAACATGGGAAGTCTTGGAACTTATAATAACTGATTAATAGAACAAAGGCATTAATACTCAATATAAGCTATTGAACACTAGAATATTACGTATCCCTGATATCAAAATAAACATGTAGATATTTTTGTTTTATTTCAAAAGATATGTCGGCAGACGAGGCTTCGGATCACCTGATGGTGAGCAAAAAAACCAAAGAAGTTATATGAAGTGCGTTGCGAGTCTTTTTGGGGTTGTTGAGGATTGGAGATTAAGAGACCGGAGATGTGGTTAATAAAATCGATAATGAAATCTCCTTAATGCAATAGATTCGAAACATTTCCTAATAAGTCTCTCTTTTTAACCTTATCATCTTCAGTCGAAATTCAAGTTCATAATAAAGGCCAAATAATTCTTTAGAGGTTTTGCAAACTTAACCACTCTTTGCATGGGTCTTGGAGATCGTCGATGACTTATCGAAAATTATGAGGATATTTTTGTCGAAAGAAATCGTCAAATGAATTCTCCCGCCCAGGGTGACGCGTCAGACTTTTACTGTCTTAAAACTCCCCCGTTCCTTCTCCTGCTTTAAGCTAAGGCCGCGGTGCTTCATTGCGCTTACCCCGCAACCCCGGCTGAACAATTATGAGGATGTTGCTGCTTATTTTTTGAAAGCTAGTCGCAGTCTTATAACATGTCTAGATCTTTTTCTAGATACAAGGGTAATTATTAAAATTTCCTTGTACGTACAACTTCTGACTGTTGCAGTACTAGCTTTTGTCCGCGACTTCGTTCGCTTGTAACAGAGACTTCATGCAGATTTTGGTTTAAAAATTTTTGTTTCTCGAGTTCCTATCTTCACACAAACTGGTTCAGTAGTTTAGGCGAGAAGAAAAGACGGACAGACAGAGTTACTTTCGCATTTATAATATTAGTTTAGATAATCAATGAAAGCAAAAGAAGGAACGGAGTGGTTTTTACTCAATATGAGTAAAAACTGACTGACACTCCCTCTTTTCTCACAAACTTTGGAGAAATCATTGGATGATTTTCCAACTTTAACAAAGCAGTACCTTCAATAGAAGTTCATAGTTCTAATTAAATCTAAATCAAATTCAAGTCACGTACAGATATTGTTAGCTTTAAAGTTGTACATAGCTTTGAACAGTTCTGTTCCTAGATCAGCATATCGTCTACAAATTGGTAATTAATACAAACTTACCAATATTTGAGTTCCTAGTATAATATGCTTGGGTAAATCTATCGTCAAACATCTGTAATTTATAAGGTAAATAGAGATCTAGCTGAATTTTGAGATGGTAAATATATAGTTAATAGCTTGTTGTTTGTCACAAGTCCACCACAATCTCTCAAAATTGCTTCAACTCGACAAACTGACGAAGAAAAAGACTGTAATCCTAAAGTGCAGCCATCCGAAAAGGACATAAACTATATTAATACGTCTTGGATATCACAACGAAATTAATTACAATCAAAATAATACCAAGCCTAAGAATTTTATAAACGTAAAATCAAATCTCCAGAAACAAAAAAAAGTTCCACTGTCGAGTGCACGAAAGCAGAACAAATCAACATATTTATTTTGGTGTTCAGTATATATGTAGTTTTTTGACTCTGATTAGAATGATTTGACATGTTCAACTAGGCGTGGATTGTCGGGTAGAAAGACAGTATTTCAATAAAATAACTGTTGTAGTTGAGAGAGTTGACATCACTCTTCTTACAACTCTTAACATAACAATCGCAACTATTACAATTTAACTAAGGATAATTAGGTAAGATTAGCTTGGATTTGAACTTAACGTCCACCGAACACGTGGCTGCGTGCGTATTCTACGGAGGTCCAACACTAGGTCCTGTTTTACAAGAAGGCCGCCTCACCAGAGCTTGGTGTTCGCTATGGACTTAATTATGACATTTGACAGTGAAGTTTGACATCGCCGTATAACAAAGAGGTTTCACGTGTGCTGATGGCCAGTGCGCCGACATGTATTTATAAGGATAAACAAGATACTCCTAACTAAACTAACTAAGAAACAAGATCTCTTCCACAGTTTAAACTTCTGCAACTGTAAAAAAGCCCTTTTAATAAAATAAAGATTTAAAAAAAACTATGCAAAGGAACCCACAATTACAACACTCACTTTTCGTAAAGTTAATGAGCCCTATTGTGTTTTTTTGCCGTATTCAGAGAAATTTAATGTTTACAGAACATTTGTATATAATATGGATTTTATATCCGTGTTATCTTCGCGCAAAAGTCTCCGGTGCAATTTGAGACGGTTACATAATCCTTTCCTTAGTTATTATTAGGATATAATGTCTCTGAGTAAGGCAATTTATGATTTCAAATGGCACAAAGCTTAGAAAGTAAAGTGACCATGTGCTCGACCTTGTTAACTCCAATCTGGCCAAGGGCATCGGAAAATATATATTGTAGTCTCTATCATTAGTAAACTTCTATACGATCTTATTTTTATAGCGGATCAAATTTTGAGGTTATAATTTAACCACTATAACGAATAATAAGCATACATATTTTTTCATAATATTTTTTTAAGAATCGTGCTAAACACTATCATAACTGTTATAGCTAAAAGCTGTCGCAAGCGAAAATGACAACTACTAATTTTATTAGTCGCGTAAAATACCATTAAATGTAAAGTTTAAATTTAAAGACAGCTAGTCCGCGTTAAAAAAAATATTGGCAACTTAAATAATAAAATATAACATTAATTATCGTGTACTCAGATACTCTTTATTGCATAGAGCCAATTTCGACATTGTCTTTTCTATATTTATTGTGAACTTACTGTTTTGACTTAAAGTTGAAAATCGAATGAAAAAGACAGCTAGGCGTAGATTAAACTGCTACAACTACGGTTACTATCTTAAGCACTTTCTTAATTACTTTTTCTCCTTGTTCCAGTTATGGACACCGCTCAACATTATACTATTCAACCTGGTGTTCTCGGATTTCTCAGTGTCAGTGCTAGGGAATCCATTCACACTTATATCAGCACTCTTCCATCGATGGATCTTCGGGAAGACCATGTGTGTTCTTTACGGTTTTTTCATGGCTTTATTAGGTAAGTTGATTTTTTTTTCGTTAATTATTAACCTTAGAGTAGAATCCATCATATTTTGTCTTCGGACAAAAAAACGACGCTGGAATTTTAAAAAGTGAATAGATGAATCAATATAGGAACTTCACCTATTAGTAGGTAATCTTATAATTACTCTTTCCAAAATTTCCTCATTTCACCATACGTTTGTAAGCCAAATTAATTTGACTATTTTACAAGTCAATGTTATTGTAATTAAGTTTAACAGGACTGGGTTTCTATGCGCTACTCAAAACTTTTTACGACGGAAGCATTGCGTAGAGAGACTTGGCTCTTTTTTCCCTAAATTTTTTTGGTGGGATGGTATTTACGTCATACTTTTGTTAGTTAATTTGAAATCCTTTTTAATCTGTAGACTGTTTTCATTAGACTTCGAAAACGATCAAATGTCCATCCTTCTGATTGAACAGAAGAAATAAAACACCCGACTCAATAAAAGAAGAAAAAAAGTTAAACATATTCTAAATAAATTAAAAAAAAAATCTTATAAACAAATGTTACTATACTATAAACGAATATCTTACAGATAAAACAAATAATTAAAAATACAATTAATATATATTTATTTTACCCATATAAAATTATATTAAGATATTGAAACAGAGCTTCCTCTCTCCTGTTTGCCTTATTTTGCTGTGCCCTACAGGGTCCATAATTAATATTAATGAAAAGCAATAAAGGATATTGAGTATTGAGTAAAAAATATGAGAAAGCCTGCACCACATTCTAAGGAGCCTGTCTCTTGCCTCAGAGCATCCTTTATTATATACCTTAACCTTTCCAAAAGTTTTTTCTTTTCCTTTTCCTTTGCCATTATTAAAGTCCTTGAATCACCCTTCGAGTCAGTTTCATATGTCACTCAGTAACTACTCCAGACGTATGTATCTCCTAATGGACGTACAGAGGTGAAAGACAGTGATTGATTGACAACGCTAAGGTAAACTAAGTCCTATCATTCGTACATAGAGTTACATATAGCTTGCGTTTGTATGTAGAGTTGTATTTTGATTGATTAATCCAGAAAATGATTTTGTATTCATATGTCGGTAAAGATTATGAAAGGAAAGTGTCACAATAAGTTCTAAAGAAGCGTCCAGACGGGGCGCTACAAGACTGATGCTCAGCCGGGGTTGTCGGAAAAGCGCAATAAAGTTCCGCAGCCTCGGCCTAAAGCAGGAGCAGGAACGGGGTGTTTTTATTTAGTAAGAGTCCACCCGGTTTCCGAAAGGCCGATCAATGTTAAAATCAATTTAATCTCTTGTCAAGTCATCTGATTGTTTGACTGAATTATCAACAACCAATCAGGTGACTTGACAAGAGAATTAACAGGAGATTAGTTAATTTTAGCGTTGACAAGCCTTTCAGAAACCGGGTGTGACACTCTCTCTAGCCTCATCTTGGGCGAAAGAAGTTATTTAATGGTTTGCCCCTCACAAAAAAAGGTTCTAATAACACTTCAAGCAAATTATTAACCAACAATACAATATTAAAATATATTTATAAATATATAAAGTATGTGTGTTACATGCAAGCAATATGTATATCCAACTAATATAATTTAAAACAAAACTAACCGAGAAATCTCAGCCTGAATCTAAAGTGATGGTCACGCATGTACCACTTCGAATAAGCAATAAATAAGCCACAGAAACAAGGAAATAGGTGAAAGTTTGTTTTTCTTTAATAATGGCAAAGTGTATACAACAGATGCGTACACACAATTTATGAATTAAGTTGTACAACTTTTTAAGGGACAAATACAATTTCTAATGGAATTTTTCCCGCTTATACATCGAAACTAATTTACTTTTCATTTCTAACAAATTATTTCATTTCATTTCTTAGTTTGTGCACCTGCTTTAAAGGTAAAGCCCAGGTCTTGTTACTGCGAGGACCATCCAGAGAACAGGGTGGAGCCGATATTATCGGTGCTGACGATACATACATATATATGCCAGATTGGAATAAACACCACTGTGTCCACAGATATGTGATCGACTCTAGCAACCGCGTACCTAGTTTTAGTTGAGGCCATGGTGTGGAAATATGTATGTATAATCGAAGAAAAACTTGAAAACCAAAATATCCTCCTTCTAGGCACAATTCTAAAATCTTCAGGTATTGCTATACCGGTGCACTTAATATTCGTTATTTCCAAGACGTAAAACACAGAAAACCGCTCAACCCAGAAATTCACAAAAAACCGTTACATTTGACAATTTAAAAAAGAATATTGAATTCGATTAACTGTTACTAACTTAAAAACATTCGTATAATACTTAACCAGATTAAGTTACACAAGTTTTAATCGGGTATAAATGTGTCAGTCAGTCTAAAAGACGAGTTTCAAGGTTTTAATAATGTAAAAATTAAAGTAAAACGCAATTATGCGAGTTTTATTTGTGTTAACACGACAGCAACATTACTTCGCTGAGTTCTGTGATTGGTTAGTCAACTTGGGACTGGCCAATCACAGGAGCACCGAACGTAAAAACGTTTCACACATACACACTACAAGTCTCACAAATTCTATTATAGCAAATATTAATAAGCTCAGTGTTTGACGAAGAATAATAATATAATTCGATAAAAAAAATACAGAACTTAGAAATCTTGTGGTCTTGGGTCTATCGAAGTTGATTAAGTATATAATGGAGAGTTTGACCTAGATTTTGAGTTACTAATAAGTTTTATTGGAATCCAAATATATTGGGTTTTCGGGGAGTAAAATTTTTTGTATTAATTTGTTCTGGAATATTAAGTATGCATATTTTCGTAGCCACTATGTTGGGTCCTAGTAGCCTGAAATAAAACCAAAAAGCCGACAACATAGTGATTGTAACCCCTAGTGTTGTGAGTGTCAATAGGCGACGAGGATTACTCAAACGTGATCCGTCAGTACGTTTGTTAACTCAACATATAAAAAGAGAATTATTCCCTTATTCTTTCTTGGATTGCCCCTTCAGTAATCTCACTCATATCACATCATGATCATCATTCTCTAAGTGCCCAATGCTGAGCAAAGGTCTCTTCTCACAAGGAGAAGGTTTGAGCATAAATCACCACGCTTGCTCAAGGCGGATTGGTAATTCCGAAGTTAAAATTAGAATTTATAAGTCCAGGTTTCCTCACGATGCCGCGATGTTTCCTTCACCGTTTGTCAGGGGTGTCTAAATGAATAATCATGGAAAGAACATACAACTCGGAAAAAGTCACATTAGTTACTTGCTTGCTTGCCGGGCCACCACGACATTTACCTACAAGTCGGGCCTCACTCACATACCCATACACAACGCAAGTGTTGTTGCACGCCGGTTTTGGTTGCGCCGACCAATTCGCACTGAAGCATTATCATACTGTGGCACTTGCTGTTTATGTAGCTAAAATAATAATAAAAGGATTAGATTGTTAAAAAGATACTGAAACAAATATAACATTTTCTAACACTAAAACATTATGATTGGGATCCTCTTGTGTAATGTGACTATCCCCTGTTCAGATTAGCTTTGGATTGCCGAAGCCGCAAACAATATGAAAACAGAAAACGTTTAAACAAAAGGTTTTTTTACAATCACACAAAATCTCAGTGTGAATTTAATCCTTATTATCCTTGTTCTTATCCTTATTAAGATTTCTACGTTATCTTTTGAAGCAACCGAATATAAATCGCGGTCAGTCACTTAGCTTCACTGACGAACAGACTGACGGACTGTTCTATTTTGAGATTTCTATGGTTTAGTTCTATGGTTTAGTTGAAATTGAACACACTTATTTGCAAGTTTTTTCTTTAAAAATATTAAATAGCAAGAAATCGCGAAATACGCAAGTGAAAACCAGTTACTTATATTTTTGAGTGTGATGTAAGGCACGAGTCTAGAGTTATAGGTACGCTAAGCATAATCCCAAACTGCATGATACTTAATTCCACCAGAATCGAAAATAAAACTTTTTGTTCGGCAGTAGCGCGTAGTGGTTGACTCGAAAACGAAGCAATCCCTCCAAATTCTCAGAATCATGTGCCCACTGCTGAGCGAAGGCCTCTGTCACACGGAGAAGGTTTGAGCATTAATCTCCACGCTCGTTCAAGGCGGATTGGCGATTTCTAACTTATAATAAGAATTAACTAAAATTCGCGGGTTACTCACGTGTAAATGATGAGAAAAGCTCTACTAGTTTCGAACCACAGAGGGGTTCTTCCTCATGAGCAGCGTGCGCGGACGCGGCGCTAGATTAGAGAGCTTTTCTCATCATTTACACGTGAGTAACCCGCGAATTTTAGTTAATTTAGTATGTCTCACGATAGTTCTTATAATAAGAAACTATAAGTCCAGGTTTCCTTGCTATGTTTTCCTTCACCGTGTCAAAAAGTCACATTGGAACCTATGTACCTACCAAGTTTCGAACCCGCACCCTCATGCATGACAAGCGTGACATTAAAGCTCCGGGCCACCAGAACAAAATAACATAGGTAATAAATAATCATATTTACATTCAAACAATAAATATCCTTAATGGTAGACAGTGTAGGTAAATTTTCGAATAAATTCGAGACACACTTTACAAGCTCGCTGATTCACTACAACGACTAATGAATAAATACTGCTTAGTTCGAAGAAAGGAATTGCCCATTGCTTTATTTTTTCACCTGTATTGTTAACTGTCTGCCTTGCTTCCTGTAGCCATGTATTTTGTAATCATTAATTTATTTCAAGCGTGTGTTTTTCTTTGTCAATTGTCATATTTGTATAGGAGAGGTCGAAGTAAAATCAATAAAGCATTTTAAACTCCAAAAAATCTTATAAACAACTTACCTCATCAGTTCGCGATAGGTAAAAAAAATGTGTGTTGTATTAAATATTAAATCATTCATTATCTTCAAAACAGATACTTTGTATCCATAGTCTATACTAATATTATAAAGAGGTAAAATTTGTAAGTTTTTATGTAGGGGTAATCTTTGGAAC